CAAACAACAAAAGAGACGTTTATTTTCATGTGCACTTGTAATGATCTCGAGGGAATTTCCCTGTTTTTACTCCCTTGACGTTTATAACTAATTAGTTTTTTGTATTCCATTCTGTGCACATTTTTATCAAAACAGAAAACCATTCACCTAAACCCAACACTCTATTACATCAATAAAAGAATGATTACGTACTCTTCATCAAATAGCTTCTGCTTTGCGGGTGACCTCTGGGCGTCCTCTTTGGGTCTTTTAACTGCTGGTAGACGTGGCTTTTGAGGCGTGTTGTCATTGGAACTTAGTCCACTTACACTGGCGATTAATTCTTCGATGCTGTCATCCTGTTATATTAAAAAAAAAATTAAGGTCGATTTCTGCCGCTCTCTCCAACAGCGGCTGGTAATCGAGCCTAAAAGAACCTACAACAATGACTTTTTACAAATGATATCTACACAACATTCTTTGGTTCAGATATATTTTTGTGTGTCTAAAAATTCTGCAATCTTAGCAGACAAATATACGCATTGACGTTGATTTCTAAATTTCCTTTCCATGCACGGCTTCAAGCTACTAATAAAAGCAGAGCTACTTATTTCAATAATTAACCATAATGGGAAAAGAGGATTTTTTTTGTTGGATAAGAAACTCAAAAAACGATCAATTGTGATCATTATGTGATACTGGTCAGCTATCAATTAATTGTAACATGGATGTCCACAGAGGTGCCTACAGTAATGGTGCTTGCTACTCTATTATTTTTGAAGGTATGGGGATGGCCATACGGACCAACAGACGGACGTAGGAACAGTCACGTGACAACCAAATTTTTCAGATCGATGGGTTGCCTAATTTTCTTAAACATTGACCAGTGTTCTTCGGCGCGCAGGATTGTGCAAATAGGTTCTGGGTAAGAGGGTGCAACGTAAATTAGTGATCACCTAGGCAATGTAGGAATCAAGGAGGAAGAATATTGGGACAGTCGTTTTGTTCTGTGTTCAGTTTCGTCAGTCAGTATACAATCACTTACTGATGAAATACGCTGTCTTTTCCGGGTGGGTTGTTTAAGGGGCGAATCGACCTCCATGCCATCGTCGGAGCTTATTTCAACCACACTCTGATCACTAATATCTGCAACCGTCGTCTTAATTTCCTGCTTGCTCTTCTAAATTAAAAAAATGCAAGGCCTGTATAGGTAAAGTGTTGAAGTTCTGTATCTTCTAGTTAAAAACGCGAATAAACTCCTACATACCTTTAATGACTTGTCTTTTGGAGTTTCCTTTTCTTCAATTATTTCAAGATCCGATCCATAAGAGGATGTGTCATCGGATATTTTTCGTCCTCTCCATAAACTCGTCCCAGGGTTGTATTCTTCTGTGGATTCCCACCATTCCATCTCTTGATTTTTTCGTCCTTTGGGTGTCTGAAATTAGACACAACAGAATGAGTTTCTTAGTGTATCTACCGCTAATGACGTTTATTTTATCTCCGCCTCGCCTCTTCCCACTTCCACCAAAAAAAAAAGGCAGAACCAAAACGATTACGTGGTTAGAACTAGATGAGTCACCCCGTTAAAATTGTACCTTTGTTGTCGTTGTCCTTTTAGCTTTGAAAGTTTTACCGGAGGATGTTTTAATTTCTTGAGCACTTTGTTCCTCTTTGATTTTAGGGGAAAAACTACGAGTACGTGGCTCAGAATTTCCCTTGGAAGATCTCGCCGCCGTTGCATAGCTTGATGCCTGAAACAAATGTGAGAAGGTTGAGTAAGTCAGCAATACTGTGACGTCCAGAATATAACCCAGGGACCAAAAAACTGTATGAAATTTAAACAGATCTTAGCGAGTTAGTTGCAATGTTAGCCTGACTGATTGATTATTTGTTTGTCAGAAATTGCGTATCACAGGTCAAATATGAACATGTGCCCAAGTTGTGAAACGAACCCAGGCACATCTGTTTACATTATGTATAGCACATGGAAGTAACCAATCCCACCCTTTGCTTGAGCTTCAATGGGACGTAGTGATTACCACTGTGTCCGAAGTAAAGAGTGCCAACTGAGGGACCCAACTGAGGCTCCACAACTTAAACGAAATTGTCATCCTGTAAAATAAAATGTAAAGAAAACAATTTATTACTCCTTAGTTAAAAACTTAATTTCGTTTTCTGAAAGCAATGGAAACAAACGTGAAACATTGGATGACAACAATTATTTACCCCATGCACTGTAATAATCATGATCTTGTAGTGCATCACATTTGCAAAGGCGCTAATCACTAAAGAATTAGCATAATTCTTTTCCAGGATCTTCAACGCTTCTGACCACACAGCAGGCACCTTTTCACCACCCATATCGACGTCACACAAGAAAGCCAAGCGGTCATTTCCCTTGTCCTATTATGAAAAAAAAAAAAAAAAAAAAAAAAAAATGTCACAAAACCTCGTACAAGAGACGGCTTTTCAGGTGGTTTCAAAACTTTGAACTATTCATTTTTCCTAAAAAAAAATGTCTGCCCAATAGTCTTTCAGTGTGCGCAGTGAGAAAAGTGTGATGCCCAAAACGTTGCTTTTCAGATGCTCTGTTACGAACATTGTGACAAATATACATGCAGCTCGTTTAAAGTGAACCTCTGAACTGGGAGGCAAGGAAAATTAGGCTTAAAAATAAATACACGTTAAGGAAAAATAATGAGCCCTAGTGTACAATGAAAAAAAAAAGACTTGGATTAGGGCTCAATTAAGGAAAATGATGTAAAAACTAAGTACAAGAAAAATATTTCTTTTCATTCCGTTTGTTTTTAATACTCTTATTAACCGGGCGTCGCTTATGTCATCATCTGTTGTCGGTCACGCAGTCACTTATACTACGGTTAAATAACTTACGTCAAACTGATGGTTTCCCAGATAATTAAAAATGAGGTTGTGCAAGATCTCCGACTTAAGTCCCAGTTGAAACGCTGCAGCCCGATAGAAACAGCTTCCATCACCGGGAGGATTAAAAGCAATTTCAAATCCTTCTTCTTCTATCCTCTGCCGAAGTTGCATTTCAATTTCCATTTTCTAACAAACCCGAAAAAGTAAAATTTACTGTTGACAAAAAAATACTTTTACATTTCGCAATGTTAACCTCGTCTGAGGCTGTGCTGAAAATGTTCAAGAAATGGAACTAATACATTAAAGATACATATATCCGAATCTCACTTACCTCACTTGAATGATTTCAGAAGTAAACGCCAAAAAAAAGTACTTTCTACCTCTCCTGATAATTTGTTCCAACTGGAAGGAAAAAAACCCACTGCACCTCTTTGGTAACGTGCCAAGGAAGAACGCGGTAAAGGAATGGGCTCTAATATATACTTCTGTCCGAGAGAAACTGGGTTTGAAAACAATCAAAAATGGCACATGGACTCATGAGTAAGTAGTATTGTACGATATATTTTACATACATGTTAATTTTTTATTTGATATATTTTTATTTTTCATTTTTCATGGCTTGCACCCTGGCTCGCATGACTCGCATGGCTCGCATGACTCGCATGGCTCGCAACCTGGCTCGCATGACTCGCACAGTGACTCGCATGACTCGCTGGCTCGCTGGCTCGCACATTAGGCAGACCCCTTGTGAGATCTGTCGAGCCTGTGGATATTAAAGCCAGGAATTTGAATTTCGTTATCGAGCACGTTTTCGTTCAGCCAGGTTTCGGAAAGAGTGAAAATATCAATGTCTTTCGACGCAATGAAGTCCTTTAGAAGGAGGTAGTGTTCTCTACATTTGAGAGATCTAATATTCAAGTGTGAGATTCGTACTTCGTTATGCCTTGTTGAATTTGGTTTGCTTCCTGTCGAAGAAGGCGACAAAGACACTGTTCTGTCGTAAATTTTGCAATTTGTAGGACCAGGGTTTGGCGAGATGTCTCCGCTAATTATCAGTTTAGCTTGTTGAAACGTTGCTGTTGAGTTGTGATAATAATTTGTCCTTGTTGACATGAAGCCCTTGCGTTTGAGAGTGCCATGGACGCGAACATGATGTAGACCATCGGACTCAGCTACAAGGAACTTTCCGGTGCTTGAGGCATGTCCGTCAGGATAAACAGGTGAGTTGGTAGATTGTAAGCAATTATTAGCAGTCGATAGAACCAAATAAATCGACAGAAGAGCGTAAAAATGATAAAAAATGCGAGGAGGAGCGGAGCGCCTCAACTCACGTCCGCACCGCATGGCACCACACAGGCTGGAGCCAAATAGTCAAATAGTAGGTAGTCAAATATCTTGTGTACTCTGTTTGTTTTGAGGTCCTCATGTCCTCGTAAAACTAAATTCCCCCCAGCATTTCACATGCTAAATGTTTCCTAAGAATCCTAATAATCACAAAAGCCCTTGAAAGCGTTGGATACCTTGGGCTGGAATTAAAATAGAGGTGAAATAGTCATTCATCGAATGAATGGTTCAAGCTTTATTGAAACGCTAGATGTGATCATTGTAACAGGGTAACCATCAACCAATTTTAAATGCATGATGGTACAGTTTACTCATATTTGTGCGGGATTTTCTTATCAATATAAGTTTCAAATAAGATGTTGATAACGAGTTCAATCAAACTATATGTTTCATTACAGTATAAACATTATCAAGCTAATATGCTTGATGGTACAGTTTACTCATATTTGTGCAAGATGTTTTATTTATATAAATTTCAATTAATGTGATGATACAATCATTAGTTATACATATAACAGCATAAACATCAACCAAGCTTAAACGCTCAAAGGTATAGGTCAATCATATTTTGCAGGATTATTTTTATGTATATAAAAATGTCAAGTAACATTTTCATGAGAAGTTCAATCATCAATTACTTGTATCACAACAGCATAAACATTAACAGAGCTTAAAACCTTGAGGGTAAAGTAAAGGTACGATGATATGTAATACCTCAACAAACGGTAGAAGCAGGTTTGTGACAAACAGAACCATACATACAATCAACAGGCCAGCCAATAGAAACTGTTAAGAAAAACAATACAATGAATAGTAAACTAATCCTTACTGTCACTGAGATAAGTCTTAGGCTTCTTGATTCTGTTGACAATAGAGATTGCAATATGGCATCTATGTCACTTGGAGTATTTTCTTTGATTGTCTCCTCAGAGTAATCCTCTATGAATTCCCTTCTTACTACACAGTTGGTATTCATCTGTTAATTCAAGCATTTTCAAATACTTTTGAGTTTATTTGAGTTCACTTGAGTATCTTTGGCATTGTTTTTGAGGTTGTCTTTGGTATTACTTTGAGTTTATTTAGCATTGTTGGCATTTCTTTGGTTTGCAGAATGACCTGTTTCGAAACTGATGCTTGAATACTGTGAATGTGGTCTACTGCATTTATAAGTACTTTGAGTGTTCCAGAAGGAAATCAATTCTTCATGATTTTCAATTAAGCTTTGCACCACGAGAAGCAGAGAGCAAAGAGACCTACAAAGAACAAACAAAGTCACATTTTCTTGTCAGCTGCCTTGTTTTCATTGTTTGTTTGTTGAGACTCTCAAGCGGTTTTTGCAGGCCTTTGAGTTGTTCACTATCAAGAGTTGCTCCTTAGCCTACAGGTTTTCAAGCTCTGAATAGGTGGATGTTTTGCTAGAGCTTAATGACATTCTTATTCTTCTTTCTCTGAAGAAGTTGGTTAAATCCTTGGCCATGTGTTGTTAAAGTAGGCCTTGAATGTGGTCGACAGCTTGCAGTGAGTTCCTCACAGCACCGTCACTTGGCCCAGCCTCTTGTATTTTAACTTCCATTTCTGTATTTTATTCAACCATAAAGTATAGAAACACAACAGAAACTGGCTAAAATGCTCATCAATGTCTCAAAAGTACTTTGATATAAGCATCCAATGCACTATTTAACTCAATAGAATTGCTAATTGGCTATAAGGAAATAATTGCCTCAATGTTTTCAAGTGGATCTTTAGGTGATAAGGTTGTCTTTCCTTGGGCAGTTTTGAATACTCCCGCTTTGCTGTATCCTTTTGCAATGCGTGGCTTTCTCATGCTGACAGTCATGTGGTTGTAAAGGCCCTCAAGCTAGGTGACATATAAGGGCTTCAGCACAGATAACCTTAAATTGACCTCAATCACTTCGGTTGCAAGTGAGGCTGGAAATTCTAGTCAAATCAATTGCCAAGATCAACAAACCTGGAGAGAACAAAACCTTCATAAATAGGCTTGAGAAGATGATTACAGAGAACTTTAGGAAGCCAGATGCTAATGGGATATTTGAATAATGTATTCAGGGAGTGTTATAGGGACTAATTCAGTGTCGTCTGTCAGGCATTTGTTCACTTCAGAAATGGCACAGCTCAGATAACTTTTGTAGCCAACTATTGGCCTTTTTTTGTTTTTTACTTCACTCATCTTTGTTCATTAAGTTTGTTAACTCATCTGACTCAAAGGACCAGGTTTCGCAAAATTTCTCATGTGTATTACTGAGAATTTTGCATTGGCTGGTTCAGTAATCTTGGACTGTATACTTTCACCTGATTCAGGCTTTATTTTGGCAATTCAATATTACATGTTCTGTTCTACAATCTATTCTATTCCATTCCTTATGGTTACAAAAATTGCTAAATTTATTAGCTAGGGAAATCCATACCCAGATATATAATTCCATGCGGACATCAAGGCCTTTTTCGTGTTGAACAACAACTTTTGGGCAATAATTTCCCATCAAACATGAGTTTACTGGGCAATCATGCTGCTATCTTCCTAAATGCTTGATGCCCTGAAAATACCTGATTAGATACATATCTGTAGGTAGACCAGTTTAATTATTCTATACTGAAATGATCCATGTTACATTCTACTTTGACAATAGTGAAATAACAACTTGATGAACTATTTGAAATTTGATAAAACAAGCAAATAAATTTGAAGCGGATAAATGCTTTATGATAGTAGACAACAATTAAATTGAAATTTGAATAAAATGTACTCTCCTTCACAGTCATTTGGGTGTGCTGGTGGAATATCTACATGTTCAATTTTACTGGCTGAATCCTCTGAATCACCGGACTTTGCACTAGGCTCAAACATATTGCTTGGGTCATCTACATCTTTGCCCTGAAAGTCAGAGGTGTTGCTATAATTGGAAACATCCAAGGCAAGTTGCTCTAATTGGGAACATCCTAGGCAATCCTGGCAACTTCTTTTGGCGCATCTTCCTGTGGTGCTGTGATCTCTCCCCAAATGTTTTAGCAAATTTGAACTAAAGATGATTTGCATATGGTTTTAAAATGTAAAGCTTAAAACACTTATGCCATTTTTAAATACCCCTCAAGAAATTGAAATCAAAATTTTGAAGAAAAACCCGCAAAGTCAAGAAAAATATGAAAGAAAACTGTGTGGAAAAAATTCAGCAGACTTGTAGACAGCCTTAGACATGAAAACCGAGCTAAAAGCTCCTTAGAGACCAATTTCTTTCATGTAAGCATCCATCTTTGTTCATGACGTTTTCAGATTAAGGGTTAACTGCCACCCAGATCGCCTTTTCACCATTCATAGAGGCATGTTTAACCTCAGCTGTCACCTAATATCTGCTGGATAATTTCATATAAAAAACACTCCAATATAATAAAATGCCCCTGTCATTTGAAGTTTGGTGTTTAAACATTTTAAGGTGCTTGGTTTTTGCAGCTGTGTGACTATTTGTTAGGCAGAAAAGCCCATTTTAAAATTGGAAAACTGGGTTTTGTAAAAGTGTAAAAATTGCTTAAAACTTTATGATGTTATTTTTTTAGGCGAAATATGAGCAATTCCCCAAAGTGACTATTGACTGATGATTCTTGATCCTGTCAGGCAGAACTTAACTGCTTGGCAGGATGTAATCGATATAAGAATGCCACAAGGTGGTAATCAGAAACTTTCAAAATGCTTTATTGTTTGATGTGATGTGAGATAGGATGTTTTTGCAATGAATTTTCAAATGATAACTCTGCAACTATTTGAAAGATATGATGGCTTTTTTTTGTTTTTGTTTTAATATCCCCATTTTTAACATTTGCAGGGC